AACTCAAATGTCCAACCAGAAGCGCCGCTGGTCGTCAGGGCAGACTCCTCCAATGGGGTCGCCGCGCAATGCGTCAGACCCCCAGACATAAAGACGCCCGTTGTTTACTCGACGGGCTCGCTTGCTGGGATGACTCACAGCACGTGCACGCCAGAAAGGCGCCGTCCGCCTGTTGACGCCATTGAGTTGTTCGCGTCAGGCGGGCTGGCCTTGACACAGATTGCCTTTTTCAGAGGCACGGCCGTTCGCTGTGGACTCGCAGGCATAACAGCACCCCCGCCGCCAGACAATGCGCCGAAAAGACGAGCTGCTTCCACGGGGCTCGGATGACAGGCGCGCTCGTTCGCCAGGTCCCTCCAGGTTCGCCTCCAGGGCCATGGGCAGAATGCAGCTCCAGACTCTGTTCCGGGAAGACATCCCATTCTTGACGACAGATCCCAGCTCGACTGGCTTGACGACAGATCCCAGCTCGACTGGCTTGTCGCCACAACTTGTCGACCAGCTTCACTCGTCTCTTCTGACCATCTTCGGTTTCAGCACTTGTCGATGGTTCTGCAACTTGCCAAGACGGTTCGACAACAGACAACACACGACACAAGCAAGTGCCCTCGGTCACCCGACAGAACACCAGACAAAGTATAGTACAACATATACCTATCTACGTGTCTATCGGAATTTTGTTCCCTCTACATCAAGAGGCACATGTGGGACACAAGACTCTTAAAATAAGAACTTGAATTTTCACACTTACAACAACGCAACGAATTAGATTACCACATAAAGTTGGCCCCCTTGAGATCACTCTGAACGAGAGAGCTCAGCCCAGGTCGTGATGAGGTCAAAATTTTGCCCCGTATTGCCAGCCAGAAACCGAAAGGTTGAGAAGGTACTAGCTAGAACGCACTGCTCAATGCACCTGTATTAGCGTTTAGCTTTCCTTTTTTTTTTTAGCGAACGTCAAAGTTGCGCTGTGAAGCAACATGCTCCATCTCAGTAACCGGCCACTTTTAGGCGACGATACCTATGCGGCACCAAGAGCGGCTCACACTTGCGACGTTGCACAGGGGAACAACGATACGGCTTGCTACGGATTGACTCCTCATCGCTTAGCTCGATATCGTGTTCGATCACCCTCGTGTTTCCGGGACGGTCTGAAAACACGTCTCCAAACTCGGAAACAATCTTTCTCAGGTCCTCCTTCTGTACTTCACTTAACCTAGGCTCTAGGTTTATCTGCTCCCAGATTACTTTCGATCCCCCTTCGATTACCTCACAAGAACTAAAAATTTCTGCTTCCTCTTCCTCTGAAGCATTCAACAGCTGATTTACGACCGTTTGATGTTGAACTTTGGGTTTCATCAAGTTGTAAATTTTGTTCTGCCGCCTTCCTAATTTCACTTCAAAATTCGTATCGGGAAGCTTCGATATTACATTGGCAGGCCCTTCCCAATCAACCTCAAGCTTGTTCCTTTTGGATGGCTGCAGCAGCATTACCTGACTTCCTACTTCGAAAGCACGCTTCTTCACCGATTTCTCGTAGTGCTCCTTCGACAGCACTTGTGCCGCGTTTTTGTGGCTTTCCACTAGCGCTTCAATCGAGAGGTCCTCACGCTGCTCTCGAATGAGCGTCTCTCGATCAACTCTCGGCAGCTCGCTCCAACTTTCCGCTACAGGCGAGAGCGTTGCAACCCTCTCACTCTGACTCAATGGCGCCATGTCGTCTCCCTCTACGCATACCGCGCCGGTCGCTTCGGCGACGGGCCGCTCGCGTGACTGCTCACATGACTCACGCGGAAAATTTCCTTTCTGGGGTTCCGTCGACCTGCCGACAAGGTCACTTGAGAGTTCACCGCATTGAACAAGGTCAAGCTTCCGCGAAAGCTTCCGCGTTTGCGATCGCGTGAGGGCCATGCACGCTAAGTTGGGGAAGAACGATTTGCCCTGCTCTTTGAGAAGCTGCTCTGAGTTGTTGGAGAAAAGATAAGGAAAACGATCATTTAGCGCGGCAGACACAGCCGCTTCGGTGCGAAGCCTACCGAACGGGCCTTCAATGACAACCGTGGCGATTGGTAAGCGAACACTCTGCTCCTCGGCGACTTGCCTGATCCACGCGCATTCTCCTGTAAAGTCATCCGGAGACACCAATGAAGGATGGACAACGTCCATGGTTGCCGCTGAGTCTCTAAGTGCTCGGCACGTTTTCTCATTCACCCTAATTTCTTGGAGATACGGCTCCAACAACCGCATGTTTTTTTCTGATTCTCGGATTGTTGCGAAGGCAAACTTTTCCTGACAGTTTCTCGCGATGTGCCCTTCCTTTTTGCAGTTGTAGCAGATTAGCGGCTCCCGTGATTCAAATGCCCGTGTGGTATCAGTGCGTTGTTTAGGAACCTCATTCGATTTTTCCGCTTCTGTTTGCCCTTCCCCTACACTGTCCTTCGTAAGAGACGGGTCCTTCTTGAAATTACGGTGCGGAGCGGGTTTTCGTTGATCAGGTTTCCTTGAAAAGCCCTCCTTCTTTTCATCCTTTTCAACGCGCACTGCCCTGCTATGCAAATTTCGGCGAGTATAATACTCCTCAGCTAACTCTGCTGCCTTGTTTAGCTGTACTTCATCAAGTTTGTCCTGCAGCCAAAGTTTGACATCCTCCTCGATGCAGCGGTAGAATTGCTCCAATGCAACGCATTCCACCACTTTATCGCGGTCGTCATAAACACCTTCGCCCTTGAGCCATTCAATTAAATCGGCTTTAAGACGAAACGCGAAGTCAACGTGTGACTCATTCCCCTTTTTAGCATACCGGAACCTTTGCCTGAAAGCCTCGGGTGACAACTTATAACGTCTCAAGAGCACTTCCTTAACCTCGTCATAGCTCTCAAACGCTTCCCTCGACAAGCAAGTTATCGCGTCGGACACTTCGCCGGGAAGAAGAGCTAACAGGTTCCGCGCCCAAAGAGACCGCTCCAAAGCGTTTCGCTCACAGACGTGTTCAAACTTGACGAGATACTTCGCCATGTCCTCGCCTACTACGAACGGTGGCAGTTGGTCCCGAATTCTAAAACCGCTGACCTGAATCGTCGGAGAAGCTACGCTAGGCGCCTGCGAACACTGTAGGATTGCCAATTCTAGTCGTTTCATCTCAAGGCGCTCCTGTCTCTCAGCCTCCTCGCGCTCGCGACGTTCTACTTCTCGCCTTTCAGCCTCCTCACGGCGTGCTTTAATATCCACCCAGGCCTCATCGACTTCCTCAGCCGACACTCCCTCATCCTTCATGATCTCTAGGATCGCTTGCTTTCGTTTCGCGCGGCCCAAAGTAATGCCGAGTTCCTCACAAATTTCGACGAGTTCCTTCACTTTAAGGTTCTCCATCGTTCACACTAGCCTCTTGCTGTTTGCCCCTGTTAACAATTTACTTGCCGTACCCACTATAAGTCAACTAGCAAGACGCGCAAGCAACTTTTCACTCTCCCGTGTTTACCCCCTCCGCATTAACTTTGGTTTCAAAGCACTTCGACTTTGCTTGAAACGATCAAAGCTCACTCTAATGCTTCACACAGCCCTTCTCTAAACTACTACAACCTGAGCTAGAGTAGTCTGGTGAACTGAGGGGAAAACATCAGGCACTCACCGCATCGATGTCGCTGACGCCGGCCGATCCCGCAGCTGCCAACCACTGTTGCGAACGACGGCGACGCCAACACGGTCCCGAAGGCGCCACTGCTTCGAACTCCGCCGGAAAGGTCACCTGCCGTTTGGTAGCGTAGGTTTCACAGCTCGCGACTGCTTCTGCGCAAAGCTGATAGACGAGCGGACGAGACGACGGTGAGTTTAAACAAGGTTTATGTACAGCATATATACAGAGGCGTTACAAATTCGGCACTGGGGCCGACAGAAACTCGAAGAGCCGAGCTCTCCTCTCTAACACATAGGTCTGCTCTCAAACGGGTCCGCTCTGACACACATGTCAGCTTTCACCTAGGACCGCCGATCGCGACGCGCCGCAGGGCTTCTTTTATATGCACCGGGTCCAACTCAAATGTCCAACCAGAAGCGCCGCTGGTCGTCAGGGCAGACTCCTCCAATGGGGTCGCCGCGCAATGCGTCAGACCCCCAGACATGAAGACGCCCGTTGTTTACTCGACGGGCTCGTTTGCTGGGATGACTCACTGCACGTGCACGCCAGAAAGGCGCCGTCCGCCTGTTGACGCCGTTGAGCTGTTCGCGTCAGGCGGGCTGGCCTTGACACAGATTGCCTTTTTCAGAGGCACGGCCATTCGCTGTGGACTCGCAGGCATAACAATAGCGATCTCACTTGGTATGCGCATATTACTAACGTCATTTCATCAACAAATAAAACTCTGGGCTTTTTGAAGCGTCACCTACGTCATGCACCAAATCACGTGAAGTTGCTGGCATATCAGTCCCTCATCAGATCGAAACTCGAATGTGCCTCCCCCATATGGAACCCGCTCAAAACATACCTCATTAACGACCTCGAATCTGTCCAAAATCGCGCCGTTCGATTCATTCACTCCCAGTACTTATACGACATCAGCATTTCATCCTTGAAAGCACAGTCCGGTTTATCACCCCTCTCTGTTCGTCGCCGTATCGCCACCCTTTCTCTCTTTCATAAATTTTTTCATTCTTCTCTCAATGCAGCTCCTTACATCCTTCCCCCCGACATGCATTTCACACCACACAAGCCATCCACTTCAAGTGTCCCGTTATCGCAACAGAACTGCCACTTCTTCCGCTTCTTTTTTTCCCCGCGCCGTCAAGGATTGGAACGACCTTCTCTGCTCCATTGTTTCAACCACCTGCCTATTATCCTTTGCGACAAATGTTAATCGCCTGTGCTGCAAAAATTAACGTGTTCAAATGTTCTCTTTTCTTGTGTATCTGCCCCTTATGTAATACCCCCAGTGGGGTCCTTAAGGAAATAAAAATGAATTATAATGGAAATGGAGTGCCATTTCAGTGTGTGTGTCTCCCACCAGAGAGATGCTGCCCGATCCTAGTGGCCCAATCAAGGTGCTGGAAGGGGCCAGGGACAACGTGCCGGATGACAGGGCTGTGGCTGCAGCTGCGGACATTGTGGCTCTCATGCAGAAGCTTAAGGACACGGACATCCTCATTGTGCTCATATCGGGTCAGCACTCACGCACTTGTTTATTGTTGACGCTCTGTTTTACTGAAAGCTCGTGTTCACATTTTCAGCTGCAATGCATCACTGGCTTTTGCATAAGCTCTAGGGACATGCGGATATCATATTTTTTGAATACGATTCAAATATAAAATAATCATGAGGTGCAATTTTTCTCACCAGTAATCTTTTACTCTACCTGATATTTATGTCAGAAATAGTACACTTAGGAGCTATTACATGCTGTTGCCCAAAGGAATATCACCTTCTTTTTTTTGCAGGAAGCATATTGTTTCGTGAATGACTAGTCACTTGCATTGTAGATGATGTACGAGATATATTAACTATAGCAGTAGCACAGCTGGCCAATTCAGCAGATCTTCATTCTCGTGCACACGCGCGTGGTTCAGGAGCCTTACAATATGCATGTAGCAAGATAACTGGGCTAAATACAGTTTAACCCTTTTATTATAGACACTGATGTAACAGACAGTTGGGTATAAGAGATTTTTCTATGTAAGACCTGGCTTATTAGAGACCTTTCATATAGAAAAGAACAATTGCTCTCTGGAACATGTTTCATACAAAGGGGTTCAACTGTATCTGGGGCTCAGTTCACCTGCCGGACAAATTTTGTATATATCTTCTTGAACTGTGGCACTACTGCATTACAAAAATAAGCACCCATTTTTTGTACCTTGCATGATGCCTGCCATGGAAGCTACAATATGATGATAATGGCCATGTACTACATCAATATTTACGCGGTCACCACTAATTCGGGTTCGTTCACGATCATCATCGGCACATCATGGTTTAGGGAGTTTTGGCTCAAACCGCCCCACATATTGCTGTTTTTATTTTTTATTTTTCCCCTCTGTTCTTACTGATCGACAGTCAAGAAAAGTATTTGTGGCGTCGTCCTACTGCACAACAATACTCGTTGTCGGGCCTGCTTGCGTTCTCGAACTGAGTTCTCGCCATTGTCCTGAGTGCTATATCATGCACATAGTCCGTGACTGCATAACGCTGGGCCCACAGCAATAACGCAAGGAAAGCACGCCAGATAGCCGAATACTGTTGTGTGACAAAATAACTTTAGAATACTGCTTTCTTGTCTTTAGTCACGACTCTTGGCGGTGAGGATGCCTTGTGACCACCTTTCGTGCACTTGCTGCCAGAAGAAGTATAAAACTCGTTGGCAAAACAGCAAGATTGCTTGAAAATATTTGATGTAGTGCAAACCGACACTAGACTAGAGAAAACACTTAAGGCACCAAACAGCCATGTAGCGCTGTGTGGTGTTGTTATGTGTCTTCTCTTGTCTGTGTGTCGGTTGGCACTACATCAAGTATTTTCAAATGAATCACCGACAAGCCTATATTGCAACTCTTGTAGCAGGATCGCAGCGCCAGAGTTCCAGAAAATTTATTGCAGGAGATGCTGCCACTTTTGTGTGATGTGTGTACTTTGTTACTCCGCACAATGGCCCTAAAAACACGGGTGGTAATGCAGTAACTTCCTGAAGTTTCCGTTGCCTGACATGCACCACCATTATCAAAGAAAAACATATCTGCAAGTTGTTACCGATAGTGCATCGCTTTTTCTTTCTGCTTGCCATTCGCCGGAAAATACTTCAGCTCATTGGTATGGCATTGTGCTGCTATCAAATTATTTCAAGACTATGACAAAACAGAACGATATAAGAGATGTTGATATATGGCACAGTGGACAAACTATTTGTCTAGCTTTCTTTGACAGGTGCGCATATGTTTGCACGGCTATCCACGTGTGAGAACCAGCAGAGCTAAATATGACTGTTGAAATTTGGGCTTGTTGGTGTTGTGTCGGGCAGGAGCATGCGTAACCCTGGAGGCAAGCTGGCGTAGAGCCGAGCGACAGGAGGGTACCTAAAGTGACGACACTGGACCAAGCTTTGGCAAGACTGAGAGGCGACTCCCCTGCTGCAATTATTACAATGTTTGAAAGGAGAGGGTGATTGACCGACATGACACAGGTCACATGACTGACGTGGCCAGGCTGGGTAGGCTAAGAAAATATGTTTGGTGGAGGTCTAGCCCCTCCCAGAGGCAACTAAAGCAAGCTTAAATGCACTGATGTCACTAGGGGTTGCATGACAGAACAGTTAGTATACGATGATGAGACAAGTACTGCTGAATGAACAGGGACACAAGAAGAACAACAGAGGCACTAACTTCCAACGTAATTTAGAGCCTGCGTTGTGTGTCTTCTTGCATCCTGGTTGCATGTTCGATTCCAGCTCTGGCAATCTCATTTCCATGGTGGCGAAATGGTAGAGGCCCATGTTCTGTGTGGTGTCAGTGCACGTTAAAGGACACCAGGTGGTACAAATTTCTGGAGCCCTCCACTATGGCATCTCTGATAAGCTACGTAAAATGCCAGATATTGTTATTCTTTCATGTCCAGTCATTCAGCACTATTATTCTCAACGCAAGCAGGCCCGACATCAGTTACTAATGAAACGTGTTACCTGCTGCAGCCACAGCCGAGCGCCCTTAGCTAGTTGCACACAGTGCATTGCTGGCTAAGCCTACTCTGTAAACGTCGCTTGCTGTAACGTACACGTGTGTTTGCCCTCGCGTAGTGCCATTTCTTCATGCTCATGCAGCACCAGATCATGCGAGTGAGCCGTTAGTACTTTGTCTGACTAATGCTGATTTGCTTCAATTTCTGCTCCCAACTCGCACTCATTGAAGTGCTCCCATGCAGGATGGTGCGGCAGTGAATGGCCTGTTCGGTTAATTAACAGTACACTTACACGAGTGGTGACAGTACTTAACTGCCAAGCCACATGCACTACCTGGCAGGCAAGTCAAGATCGTTGGTTGGTTTGTCGTGAGGAGGTGTCGGCACATTTGTTAGTAGCCTCTGGCGGCAGCCAAGCCAAGCCAAGCTGCCAGGCAGCGCCACCCTCTGCTGCTCTCAGGAACCTCCAGAGAACCCGAATAAAACCAGTTGATGTTTGGGATACATAATGTGCAGGCGTGTCTGGTCCTCCTGCGCGTACACGCGTCCCAAAAGCCGTTATCATGCTCCCATCTACACATTTCTGTGCAGGCACCACAGCACTAAGCTTCAAGCTCAAGCTGTAGTAATCACTTTAGTAATCGAAAGAAAAATATTTGAACAGATTGAACGTGGTTTTGGAATCGAATACGAATATTACAAATGCAATATGAAACTGATATTCGAAATTTTTGAATATTTGCACTCCTCTATTAAACTGAAAACAATAGGCTTGCTCGAATAGTAACTTTTAGGTTCGGAGAAAATAGTAATTTTGGTCGAATAATATTGAATCGAATTCATAGGATATGTCGCATACTATGAAGAAAATTGAGTATACTTGTCATGACCTAATTAACTTTCACAATATTTATAAAGAATTGAAACTATGCCAATTCAAATGCCTTCTTTTTTGGTCCGAAGAAAATGGAAACACGTCTGAGTAGGAGCATGAAAGTAACAACCTGTGAACTAAGTTTAATTTTAAAATTAGAGCGTACAAGCTGGTATAGCAAGCTTTTAAACTTGAAAACTTATGAATTAATGTGAGAGTAGTAATAATCATCATTATTGTCAGCCTGTGTTAGTCTACTACAGGATGAAGTCCTCTCACAATTTTCACCCTGTCCTGTGCGAGGGTAATATGTTCATTTAACCTTGGAATGGGGCTTTGCGGCAGTGTAGATTTCACATGGAAGGGTGTTATTGCGGTTTAGCACCCCTTATTTGCAGTGAAACCACCTTTACAGGCAGTGGTATAATTGGGGTTTCGGGTTTTTGAATAAATTCGAAAAAATGCAATAAACATTTGTCAGTACTATATTTGACAAATCACATTTATCTGATAAACTCTGATTTCAACTGGGCATTGTCAACATTTATTTATTTATTTATTTATTTATTATACCTCATATGCCTCAGCAGGGTGTTACATGAGGGGTGGGCTGTGGTACAAATTTTTTTCGATGTGGGTTTTGAACAGAACTGGGCTTGTGTGGTGCACGACGTCAGGTGGAAGATCATTCCAGTCCTTTGCTGTTTGAACAAAGAACGAGCGAATGTGGGCAGTTGTGCGGGTATGCGCAGGATAAACAGTGTTGCGGTGGCTAGTACGAGAAGAGATTCGATCTGCGGGCAAGATACCGAATGCGTCAGATAATGAATGAAACAATTGGAGGAAAAGGATTAGTCTAGCGGCCTTGCATCGCAATTCTAGATTCTGAATATGGGCTTTGTCTTTCAGATTAGTGACACTTAAGTGATATGAATATTCAGAGTCAACGAACCTTGCTGCCCTATTCTGAATAGATTCCAACATTTTAAATAGATTAGATTGGTGTGGGTCCCAGATGCTGCAAGCGTACTCGAGTTTCGGGCGTACTTATGTTAGGTTTTACAGGAGGAGGGACGACGCATAAGTTTCGTCTGAGGTAGCCAAGAACTTTATTTGCTTCGTTACGAATGTTTATTATGTGGGGTGTTCAATTAAGATCGGGAGTTATGTGTATACCTAAATACCTATAGGAGTCCACGGGGGACAACTTAGAGCCGAAAATAAAGTATTGCCACGTTCCATTTCACAAGTTTTTGTTATCGTTCCGAAACACTACACGATTCTCGGCGCAAACCGCGCCTGCAGGTTTCGAAAAGGTTCCGGACTGTAGTGGATCATTTCGATAAGATCACGCCCACTGTGCGAACGGTACAGATTGTTCTGGAACCTACGCCACCGCCAGCGATAACGCTAGAACATTCGACGGCAAGGGTATAATTGCCGACGCGCTTCGCCGCTTGTCAGTTATTGATCAAAGGCCGACGCTGCGCTCGCCGCTATCAGTCCGAGACTTCTATCTGTGCAAGACTGCTGCTGTAATTAGACTTTCCCTTTACCGGGCACAGGTTCCCCCAATTAAACAGTTAAATACCAACACGAAGTTTTCTGTCTTTGGCCACGTCAC